AACATGAAACCATAGCAAGCAAGGAGAAATTCTATTTGATGTTTTCTATGTAATTCTACAAGAGAAAAGTCAATTCCCACAAAAAAATCTGCACCACAAGAAAAGAAGGTAGGTAGTAGACCATATGGTACTCAACTTTATTTTTTGCCCCTAATTTCATTTCAGACAACTGTAATTTCCTGAGCAGTTTGAATAATAGAATTTAATATATGCAAAGAATTTCTCCAATCCATCTGAAATTTCACTTCATCTCAATGATTAAGGTTCACTTCTTGTCTTGGAAGGACTAAATCATTTTAGACTTCAATTTTCTTTCCCCTCAGTTGGATATAAAGGAAAAATAACAAATCCCTGGAGGTTTTTAACATTTACAGTCCCAGCTAAAAAAACAAACAAATGCACTGTTGTCCAGTTGATTTGACTCATAGCAACCCCTCCTTGGGTTTCCGAGGCAATATCTCTGTGGAGGGAGCTCTGGTGGTGTAGTGCCTAAGGCATTTGACTGCTAACCAGAAGGCTGGCAGTTCAAACCCACCAGGCTCTCCTCAGAAAGAAGCTTGGGCAATCTACTTCCATAGAGATACTGCCTCCTGCCTCAGAAACCCAAGGAGTGGTCCTATGAGTCGAATCAACTTGATGGCAGTCTCACACACACACACACACCTCTACAGAAGTAGATTGCCCAATCTTCCTTCCGAGGAGTGGCTGGTGGGTTTTAACCGCCAACTTTCTGGTTAGCAGATAAATGCCTTAGGCACCACACATCTCCTGTTATTTCCTGACACTGTTGTATATAGTGTTTGGTTTGGTGCATTCCATGAGTTCATAGTATCTAAGAGATCAACTGTTTTTATTGATGCATTACACACACATGTATCAAAAGCTTTCCTTAGGCTAGATTCCATGGTTGGGGCTGAGAATATGGGATAAAATAAGTTTCTCACTCTTGAGGAGTTTTGTGGCAACATCAGAAAACAGACATGCAACTGAATACAGAGAACACAATGGGATGTTTTATTAAAGATTTTGAACAAAATGTTTTCAATCAAACAAAATATTTGGGTGACAACTAAGGTTGAGAGCGAATAGATTATAAATTCAAAAAATCCAAGCAAACTGTCCATATAAAACATTTAAGTATATACTATAAATCCGCACAAGACAGTAACTCATCCATGCTCAGTGTTCTAAAGAAACCATTCCATTTAAACAGTAGGTATTGAGAGATTTGTGTAAGAAAATTTAGTGAGTATACAAAAAGTTATTTGCAAGTGCACAACATATTTAGTTAACAATTTTTGTTGTTGATAATGTTCAAGAAAATATAACCAATTAGGAAATTGTAACAAATTAATAAATATTTCAGTTAAAATAAATATGAGTTGGAACAATTTTCTAGATTACTAAGGCAGGGAATATGCTTTAATTAGAAATTCTCAGATCATCTATCATAGTGGTTACTAGGATATTACTATTTCTTGGGCAAGTTTGCTAAATCTCAAAAATACTTTCTAAAGAGATACATAGTTCAATACAAAAATTTAGCCATATTCTGAAGATTTTTAAACAAATCTATTGTCTTCTCTACTCCCAACTTCAGGAGTTTCCTCAGGGCCACAAATACTGACTTTCATGTCATGCTGTTCTGCTCTTAGAGCTTTATCTTCTTATCCTTCTATATTAGCTATCACATTGTTATTTTGCAAGAGCTCTTTCCTCTCTATTTGTTCTTTTGTACAGCATTATTTTCTCCCTTTTTTTCTTTGTGGTGATGGTGGTGGTGTTGAGGTTATTTAACATCAACTTTACCTTTTTGTGTATATTCATTAAAATTTTCGTTTCATTTTTTTTTATATCTATTTTTCTCATGCTGTCATATTATCTCTATTATATTTCTGTTTGTTCCTTGCTTGTTTTCTTGTTTTGGTCTCTGTAATACTTTTACTTTCATTGAATATCTAATTATTCTCGGTTGTTATTTCATATTTAAGAACAAAACACCAAAACCCTAAATGGAAACTCTACTTCTTAACTTACAGGCTAATAGGGAAGTACCAGCTTTTTCATTGTATTATCACTAAGCGTTGGGATAGTACCTAAGGCACTTGACTGCTAACCAGAAGGCTAGCGGTTCAAACCCACCAGCCACTCCCCAGAAGGAAGATGAGGCAATCTACTTCCATAGTAATACTGCCTCAGGGACACAAGGAGGGGTCGCTATGAGTCGGGTCCGACTCCACAGCACATAACAACAACAACAACATGGTTGCCATGAGTAGGAATCAGCTTGACAGCTCACAACAATATCCTTCAATGCTTTTTAATTTTTATTGAGTAAGATCCAACTAACTCCAATCTGCACTTATACATTTGGCTGTCAGCACTCGGAGAGGAGTGTGGAAAGGAAATTGGGAAATTTCACTATTTCGAATATACAGTTTGTTTTCCCTGTTTCGGTTTATTGTAAAAGTCTGCCATACACTGTACTTTGTGTCCCATGACCAGAGTTATTCCTGTTCAATATCTTCAAAGAATAACTATATTATCAAGTATGATTGCCTCATTGCACATAATTGGAGAAAATAATGGAAGCTATAACTGCTTTAGAATTTGAACTAATTCCCAAGATAAATTAGTGAATTTGGATTGTTTTCCCCATTCATTTATTGATTACAAATATATTTGTTGAGTATCAAACAATAAGTAATTAAAATCTTCCTGTGTGCTAACTATATAATGTTCCAATAATATGCATTTTGTCATATAGACCTATACACCCTTAGGCACTTTAAGGAATGCTAGAAATCTCTAGATTCTAAGAAATTTCAAAGATTTTTTATATCATCTACCCATCCTGATTGTGGAACTCTTCAACATTTATATCTTTCTAATTCAATTAAAAAAGAAAAAACTCATGCTGTGGAGTTGATTTGACTCATAGCGACCCCTCCTTGGGTTTCCAAGGCAGTATCTCTAAGGAAGTAGATTGTTCAATCTTCCTTCCGAGGAGTGGCTGGTGGGTTTGAACCTCCAGCCTTCTGGTTAGCAGTCAGATGCCTTAGGCACTATGCTGCCAGAGCTCCCAATTTAATTTTTCTCGCAATATTTGTATCATGTGGAGAGGGAACTCTTGTTATTATAAATTTTTTCCATTAAGTATGCAGAAACAAATATGGTTATTTGTCCCAAATCCTAAATCAGCAAGAGCTGAACGATAATGAAGTTCTCAGAGTCCCTGTCCATTGTTTCTTCCTATTCTCTTTCATTGGGATTTATTCAGCCTGCCTCTTCCTTTCATGCCATTGATTGCTGATTTCTCTGTTCCTACAATGAGATAAAGTTTGCCTCATCAGCTAATTCTTTCTTGATTTCCTTTGTATTTGCCAGGGTAATAGTCTTTCATCTCATCTTTCCTTTTTTCCTTTTATTTTTTCCCCCTAGCTCAGGCAGATCTATTAAATAGATTTGCCAAGGTTTCCCAGCAAACCACTAATTCAATTAGAAGAACATTAATTTGTCCCAATTCTTCCCACAGAACAGAAGTGGCAGCAGAATGATGGCACATCAGGGTGGGTCAGTCAATGTAGCCAAAAAAGAAGGACACGGAGTAGAGAATAGAGGAAAAATGCAGAATTCCAACGTATTTCAGAACCTCAAGAAAAAAGTGGCAAAGAGACTAGACAAAGGAAATGCAGGAAGGTATAGGAAAAATATATTGGCTTTACAAAAAGACATGTATTCACATTCAGCCTAACAAAAACCAAAAAAACCAAACTCACTGCCATTGAGTTGGATCCGATTCACAGTGACTCCTCCTTGGGTTTCCGAGGCAGTATCCCTATGGAAGTAGAATGCCCAATCTTCCTTCCAAGGAGTTGCTGGTGAGTTTGAACCATCACCCTTCAGGTTAGCAGTCAAATGCCTTAGGCATTACACCACCAGAGCTCCTTTCTTATTCAAGTGACTTAATGTAAATGAGATTCAATTTCCTTATTATAAATTAGGGATAAATATAATATCTACATCAAGGATTATTACAATTTTTAAATGAGATAAAATTAGCAAATACCCAGCACAATATTTGATATGCAGCATCGACCAACAACCAACCCAACCCACTGCCATGGAGTAGATTCCAATTCACAATGACCCTATAGGACAGAGTAGAACTGCCGCACAGTGTGTCTAAGGCTGTAAATCTTTAAGTAAGCAGACTGCCTCATCTTTGTCCTTCACAGCGGCTAGTGGATTCAAACCAGCGATCTTTTGGTTATCAGCCAAATGCCTTAACCACTGCACCACCAGAACTCCTTGTATATGGAATACACTCAAGAAATTATAGTTAAAAGAAATCCTACTATATCTTTGCTCAGCTTCTGGACAGAGAATGACTTTGAATCATAGTAAAATTTAAATCATAGAAAAAGTGTTTGTGTGAATTAAATTTGACCCACAGAGGTCTGTAGTTGTCCTGCATGATTTGTGAAGAGCTGCACAAGAAAGTGGGATTTACTCAGAGAAGCTAGAGAACAAATAAGTTATTACTCATAGGTCCCAGAAAGGAAAACTCAGTATGCCCTGACATAGGTTCATACAAGAGGTTACACCTCAGGATAAGGCAACACCAGCTAGAACTGGAGGAGAGGGCTTATGTATAGGAAAGGAGGGAGGTTGTGTTATGTGG